AATCATCAAACAACAAGTTTTGGCGAGGGTGTGGAGAAAAGGGGACTCTAGTACACTGCTGGTGGGAATGCAGACTGGTGCAGCCACTATAGAGAACAATATGGTGCTACCTCAAAAAATTAAAAATTGAACTGTCATTTGACCCAGTTATCCCACTTCTAGGAATATACCCTAAGAAGCCTGAAACACCAATCAGAAAGAATATATGTCGTCCCACCCCCCCGTGTTTGTAGCAGCAGTATTTACAATAGCTAAGATCTGGAAACAGCCCAAGTGTCCATCAGTAGACGAATGGATAAAAAAGCAGTGGTACATATACACAGTGGAGTACTACGCAGCTGTAAGAAAGAAAGATCTCTTATCCTTTGAGACTACATGAAGGGACCTGGAAAGTATCATCCTAAGTGAAACAAGCCAAACAGAGAAAGACAAGTATCATATGCTCTTACTTATTTGTGAAATATAATGAACACAACAGTCTGAGGAATGGGGTAGTCCCCGAGACGTGAAAGTGGGGTACAGAATGACAATACCCAGAAGAGGGGGTGGTCGGGGAGAGATACACCACAGAACTTACATGCATGTATGCATGAACAATGGATATGGACAACAAACCTGGGGACAGGGCAGGGAGGGAGGGGAAGGGGGAAATCAGTGGGGGGAAAAGGAGAAACATCTGTAACAAAAATTAATGGAAAAAAAAAAAAGAAAGAAACGTAAAATAAAACTACACCAAGATACCATTTCTCACCCAGACTGGCAAAGGTCATAAAGTTTGATAACACACTGCATTTTCTCAGAGTGTAGAAAGAAAGGCATACTATTTCTATAAAAGGCAACTGGTAATATTTATCAAAATGAGAAATGCACTTTGACCTCAGTGCACACAACAAAAAGTATGTGTATGTACACACGTGTATATGTGATTATTCACTTTAGCACTGTTTGTAATAGCAAAAGACTGGAACAATCTAAATGTTCATCAACAACCCCAGCTTTTTTGGCTCAGCAGTTAGAACGGTTGTCTGCGGACCAAAGGGTTGTTGGTTCAATTCCGGTCAAGGGTACATCCCTCAGTTGTGGTTCAATCCCCAGCCCTGGTTGGGGTCCTGCGGGAGGCAACCAATCAATGTGTCTCTCTCACACCGATGTTTTTCTCTCTCCCTCTTTCTGTCCTCTCCCCCACAACTCCATCTGAAAAATCAATGGAACAATATCCTTGGTGATTAAAAAAAAAAAATGTTCATCAACATAGTCTGATTCTATAAAATATGGTATGTCCACACAATGGAATTAGACGCAGCTATAAAAAAAAGAATAAGGCACTGGCTGATTTGGCTCAGTGGTTAGAGTGTTGGCCCGTGGACCTGAGGGACCCGGGTTAGGTTCCCACTAAGGGCATGTATTTCGATTGCAGTTTGTCTCGGGCCCTGGTTGGGGTTGTGTGTGTGGCGGCCAGTCGATGTGTGTCTTTCACATTGATGTTTCTCTCTCTCCCTCCCTCTCTCCTTCTCTATCTGAAGACAGATGCAAAACTGTCCTTGGGTGAGGATTAAAAAAAAAAAACAATAAGGATTCAGTTTGGGAAGATAAAATGGTTCTGAAGATGGATCATAGAGATAATTGCAGAAAAATATGAATGTACTTAATGCCACTAAGCTGTACACCTAGAAATGGGTAAAATGGGTATATTCTGTTACATGTTTTACCACAATTTGAAAAAAAAAATGAGGAAACTCTGTGTTGACAGAGAAGATTTCCAAGATGCACTGTCAAGTAAAACGTAAAACCATTTGTACATAAACATTTGAATTAAAAAAGGGAAATATGCCCAGGTTGTGGGCTTGATCCTCAGGTGAGGAGGGCATGCAGGAGGCGGCCAATCGATTTTTCTCTCTCATTGATGTTTCTATCTACTTCTCCCTCTCCTGTCCTTTCTCTTTCAAAAAAAAAACAACAATAAAATGAAAAAGAGAAATATGTACATATTAACTTTTCTATCCAAAAAAATCAATGAAAGGCCTGGCCATGTGGCTCACTGGAATGAACACTGTCCAATGGACTGAGAGGTTCCGGTTCCATTACTGGTCAGGGCACTTGCCCAGGTTGTGGTCTCAATCCCCAGTAGGGGGTGTGCAGGAGGCGCAGATCGATGTTTCTCTCTTTCTCTTCCTCTCTCTCTAAAAAATCAATAAAAACGTTAAGCTGACATTGAGCTGAATGGAAGTCCTACAACAACGAAATTAAAGCAGCAGCCACACTGAGACTGGTAGGAGGGGTGGAAGTATGATGGGCTGGTCCCACACCCACGTGACGGATAAAAATCAGGAGGTACATCTCGGTTGGGAAGGTCCTCCCTGAGGAGTGAGGGGTCTGCATCCCACACCAGGCACCCAACTCAGGGTTCCAGTGCCAGGAAGAGAAGTCTCCATAACTTCTGGCTCTAAAAACCAGCAGGAACTGTGGCTGAGCGAGGCTGAGGCTGCTGAAGCCCCAGGCAACTCCTCTTAAAGGGCCTGTGCACAGACTTACTCAGAGCAGCTTCTTCTGAGCTCTAGCATGGAGGGGAGGCAGCTTGAAAGGCATACGGGGAAGAACTGAGTTGTTTGGCATTGGGGCGAGGACTGGAGAGGCACCTTTCTCCTGGACAGGTGTGCTGGGGGAGGCCATTGTTCCTTTAGTGAGCCCTTCCCTCACAGGGCAGTCAGATGGGTGCCTATCTGGGACTCTAGCAACCTGGCTCATACTGTTTGCCCTGCCCTAGTGATTCCCTGAGGCCCTGCCCCCACGCAACTTTCTGGCCCACCCAAGCTGTTTCCAGTGGCTTTACCAAAGGATTGGCCTATTTTGACTCCTGTTTCAGATTTTTCTAAATTCTCTCAAACAAGCAGCATCTGGCCACAGTGAGCTCCATACCTCTCGCTATGTGGCCCCAGGCCTGGCACTAGAAGCAGCCCGCCTTAGTTCACAACTTGGCTTCACCTGGGCACCTCAAGTCCAGCACCAGAAGCAGCTATCGGCAAATCACTTTGTAGCTTCTGCCTGGTGGCCCCAGGTAGAACACAGGCACAGAATGGCCTTGCCCTGGAGCCAGCACACCCAGTGGACAGCTTCAGACCACGTCGAAGCATCACCACTCAATCACCTCCACAAGTGACACACTCAGGAATGGACTCAGGGGGTATCATAGCACTGCTGAAATAAGTCTTACTCTGTGTGGTGGGCCCCTGCACAGCTGATTCTCCAAGGCAGTCAGAGGTCGGTGGTTAGTAGGCATAGCCAGTCCTTGCAGCTGACCAGCCTGAGTAAGCCCTCCCATTGACATGCCAACAGCAATCAAGACTCAATTACAACAGAAGGGTGTAAAGTCCACATGAGGGGTGCACCTCCAGGGTCCAGCTGGGTGATCAGGGAGGCTGTGCCACTGGACCCTACAGGACACCTACCACAACAGGCCATCCTAGGAAGCATAGGAGACATAGCAACTCTACCTAATACATAGAAACAAACATAGAAAGGCAGCCAAAATGAGGAGACCAAGAAACACATCCCAAATGAAAGAACAGAACAAAACTCCATGAAAAGAACTAAATGAAATGGAGATAAGGAATCTAACAGATGCAGAGTTCAAAACACTGCTTATAAGGATGCTCAATGAACTTAGTGAAGGCCGCAAGAGCATAATAAAGAACCAGTCAGAAATAAAGGATGTACTAACTGAAATAAAGAATAATTTACAGGGAATTAATAATAGAGTAGGTGAGGCCAAGGAGCAAACCATCGATTTGAAATATAAGCAAAAAACACCCAATTAGAACAGCAAAAAGAAAAAAGAATCCAAAAAAATTAGGATAGTATAAGGAGGCTGTGGGACAACTTCAAATGTACCAATATTTGCATCATGGGAGTGCCAGAAGAAGAAGAGAGAGGGCAAGAAATCGAAAACCTATTTTAAACAATAATGACAGAAAACTTCCCTAACTTGGTGGAGGAAACAGACATACAAGTCCAGGAAGCACAAAGAGTTCCAAACAAGATGAACCCAAAGAGGTCCATACCAAGACATATCCTCATCAAAATATCAAAGGTTCAAGACAAAGAGAGAATCTTAAAAGCACCAAGAGAAAAGCAGTTAGTTACCTACATCGGAGCTCCCATTAGGCTGTCAGCTGATTTCTCAAAAGAAACTTTGCAGGCCAGGAGAGAGTGGCAAGAAATATTTAAAGTGATGAAAAGCAAGGACCTACGACCAAGATTACTCTGTCCTGCAAAGCTATCATTTAGAATCGATGACCATATAAAGTTTCCCAGATAAGAAAAAGTTAAAGGAGTTCATCACCACCAAACCAGTATTATATAAAATGTTGAAGGGTGTTCTTGAAGAAGATAAAAAAATATGAACAATAAAATGGCAATAAATACATATCTATCAACAATTGAATCTACAAACAAAAGGAGCAAGCAGAACAGAAACAGACTCATAGATACAGAGAACTTTTTGTTGGTTGCCAGATGGGAGGGGAGGTGGGTGAAAAGGATGGAGGGATTAAGAAGTACAAATTGGTTGTTAGGCTGATGAATCTCAAAGGAAAGCGGGGGGAGGTGCAGTAGAAAGAGAAAAACCAAAGAACTTATATTCATATATACATAACCAATAGACACAGACAATAGTGTGGGGAAAGCAGGAGGAGGGGGACAGAATTGGGGAGGGTGTCAAGGGGGGGGGAAGAGGGACATCTGTAATACATTCAACAATAAAGGTAAGTTTAAAAATAAAATCAATGGAAGGACATACAGGCTCTGTAATAGTACCAATGGTTGTCCGCTAGAAGGGAACTAGATGACTGGCAGATTTTCACTGCAGGTCTTTTTCACTTCGTGAAATTTCAACACCATGAATTTTGAATCCCTGTGTTCCCAGTGAGAGCCAGCAGCCCAGGATGCAGTAGTATCTAGGCTACAAGCTACCCAGGCCCTTCCCAACTGGAAATGCTGCTTACCGGCCAGGAGTAATGTGTGGGTGTTCTTGTTATCTGGTACTTTGTCTGACCTCTCACAAGGGTGCATTCCCAGGAATTTCACAATATTTCCCACAGCCTCTATAAGGGAGAAATCCTAGTATCAGTAGGACACGTATCTTTTTTTAAAAAATGTCACTTTCAATTAGTTTACAATCAATATTATTTTATAATAGTTGAGCCACATAATTTGTCTGCCCTTTGTGTTACCACAACTCCCCCATCCCCTAACACTGCTCTGAAGGACTTTTAATGAAGTGGCATCTGAAGTATGTGCTACAGACATGGCCCTGGATCCTAGCAGGGCAGCGGCAGGGAGCAAATATGAGGAGCACTTCACAGTAGCCAAGGATTTTACCTTCAAGTGTCTTGGTAGTAGACAAGGTGAACGTTTCCTCCTTCTCAAACTCATCTCCTACCTCATCCCAGGCTGCTTCAAAGTTCAGCTTCATGACCTTTTGGATGTGATCAGCTATAGTGACTTCCAGATCTTCCAGCTGGGGAGGTGGGGATTAAAAGTTAGGTACATACCTCTAGTGGAGAAAGTTCCACACACCTCTGGGCCTCTGCTCTGAACTCACTACTCACCTCTTCCTGCAACACATTGAGGAGTTACTTCCTAGGTGCTGAACACTGTGCTAGGCTCTGGGGATACACAGCAACTTGACCGAATATCTGTCCTGAAGGTGCTCACAGCAAAGTAGTCCTTTAGAAATGCCCTGACCCAAGTATTCACCTGAGGGTGTTAGCTGCAAGATCACATCCCTTCTGAGTTCTGCCTAGAATCAGTGCCTCAAGGATCCAGGGACTGTACAGAAAACTCAGAGGTCTGACTCCTATGGCTCTGTCACTTCTATGATTCAGTAGGTCCTTCCCTTTACCTCAGCTATGTCCTCTGGGCTTGACATATATTGATCCACACCCCCATCTTAGCTGTGTCCTCCCTGAACATGACACATAATTACACCCCTCACCTTGGACAAAGTGTACATAAAGATTTCCCATTCAAGGCCCTGGCCATTTTGGCTTAGCGGTTGGAGCATTAGCCTGTGGACCAGAGTCCTGGGTTCGGTTCCCGCTGGGGGCACATACCAAAAAAAAAAAAAGATTTCCCATTCATTCACCCAACAGATCTTCACTGAGCCCCTACTCTTGCAGAGGTTTAAGGTGTGCATAAGTAGGATTCAGCTCCTAAAATAAAAGCAATGCCTCAGTCCCAGCTCTCCCAAAGAGTTCACTTGAGTCATTGCTGGCTCAGGAAAGGCCCTTCCTCAACAATGGTTCTAGGATGACACAACACAACAGTGACATCAGTTGTAGTCCAATGGCTGGCCCTCCAGTTATAAGGAGCTCCATCACCAAACAGCATCATGGTCTACACTCAGGTGGCACTCACCCACTGCTCCATGGTCAAATCCCAGAATGATTCCATGCAATCTCATAAAGGTAGAATGGGAAGGGCTGTTTCAGCATATGAAAGGACTGGCTAGCAGATAAAAACTCATCTAATTTCTCTAGAAAGCAATTTGACAATATGGATCAAAAATTTTTATTTATTTATTTTTATTCTCACCCAAGGACATTTTGCATTTATCTTCAGATAGAGTGGGAGGGAGAGAGGAAAGGAGAGAGAGAAACATCAATGCAAGCGACACACATCAACGGGTTGCCACCCACACGACCCCAACCGAGGCCGGGGACAAATTGCAACTGAGGTACATGCCCTTAGTAGGAATTGAACCCGGGTCTCTCTGGTCCGTGGGCCAACACTCTAACTTTTGAGCCAAACTGGCCAGGGCTGAGTTAAAAATGTTTTAAAATCATGTTTACCCTTTGACCCAACTATTCTATTTCCAGAAATCTACCCTAAGGAAATAATCTGCACATTTGTACCCAAGGGGATGTTTATTTATTTAAATCCTCACCCAAGGATATTTTTCCATTTATCTTCAGATAGAGTGGGAGGGTGAGTGGGGGGGAGAGAGAAAGAGAAACATTGATGTGAGAGAGACACATCGACTGGTTGCCTCCTGCACGACCCTGACCAGGGCGGGAGACCAAACCACAACCAAGGTACATACCCTTGACTAGAATCCAACCCGTGACTCTTTGGTCCACAGGATGATGTTCTAACCACTGAGCAAAACCGACCAGGGCCAAAGGGATGTTTAATGAGCATTTATAAACAGTAATGATGTGAAATCCCAAGGGTCCAACATTAAAGGAATCAAGTGAGTAATCATAAACTATATAAGAATATTTTAAAGTCATTAAAATTGTGTTTATGAAGTATTTGTAATGGCATGGGAAAATACTCTATGGCTTTAAGTGACAACAGCAAGATTTATAATGTACAGAATAACCTCAATTATATAACTCTCTCCACACCCCAAAATAACTCCCAAGAACTATGGATAATGTTTGTTTACACTTTGTTTTTATATTTCTCAAGGTTTCTTTTTACATATGATCAAACATTTTTTTCAAGTTAAAAACAGTAAAGCTAAAACAGCAAGAAAATGCTCCAAGTCTGGTTGTCAGCTTCTGGAGGGAGTTATTCTCAGCTTCAGGCATAAAACTGAGCCTCCAGACACCAGCTCCTTACCACATATTCATCCTCATAGCCTTCATCATCAGTCTCCCCAGTTGTGGGGTCACAGTCCTTGACAGTGAACTTCATCATGCAGCTGAACGTGCAAGCCACTATGAGAAAGAAAGGCTGGGTGGTCAGAATGTCCATAGGCACTACAGGGGATGAGCTCCTTGATAGGGCAGGTGGCCACAGCCAGCTCTCTAGGCCTTTCCCATGTTATCAGCAGTGGTAACATGCCATCCCAACCCCACAAATCTGGGCAGAAGGCACCACTCTGTTGAAGGATAGGAGAGTTAAGTCATGAGCCTGAGGAGTCCCCTTGTGGGGAAGGAAGAAGAGAAAAGCAGGATGGCTATGTCCACGTAACAGTAATGGGCCCACTGTCAGAGGCCTGGAAAAAGAAACTGGTGGTTTCCCTGGGAGGAGTATTTTTGAGATATTTTAAGTGCTTATGCCTGTCTTTGTATTCTCTCGTGGTATAATAAAAGGATGCTGGTTTGAGGACCAGATAGACCTGGGTTTGATCTCTTACCAGTTATTTGAATTTAGACAAGCCATTTAACCCAAGTCTCAGTTTACTCATCTAGGAATAGGTATGGCAGTACATATCCCCATAGGTCTTCCATGAGGAGGAAGTGAAAAGTACCCAGACTTAGCCATTCTTTTTCTCAAGACTGAAATCAAGGAGCTGAAGCTCTAATAAGAGATAAATGGCTGGTACATAAGCTGCCCACCCCATTCCGATCCTGACGGCTACCGTGAGACCAGGTTGGTATCTAGGATAGGGGCTCACCAGCTGTGGGGTCTTCCTTGGGCAGTGCCACCAGCGTGTAGCAGGTCCCAGGCTGGTTGTAGGGTAGGCTCCAGGCAGGCACATAACAGAGTACCTCATAGCTCTCAGTGGGCTCCATCTGCACTGTGACATTCTCCAAAGTCTGGTCGTTGAGTGTGTTTGTACAGTCAAACTGGACCGGGGGTGGGAGGGTGGGGTAAGGTTACTTAGACACTGCTCTTAGATATGGCTCTAGGTCTAAGCCCTGTTGCAGTGGAAAAGCCAGGAGATTCTACTTCTTATTCTGTGGGCCAAGCTGACTCCCATCCCAGTCACCCTGCTCCAGTTCCATGTCTTCATGCTGACACTAAGGAGCCAGAAAGGTCCAGGGTCAAGGGTACAATAGACATACCAGCTAGTGATGACCAAGTCATCAAGCTGTGCTCACAACCAATTCAGCATAGGAGAAGCCATTACCCTATAGGACCCATCAGATCTTGGACCACTCCCTGGTCCTAGGAGACTTCAGCAGGACCTCAGGCCTCCCTGCTTACCTGGAACACCATGTGGTCAGTGAAGGTGTGTTTGGTGCAGTGGATGACATACTCTGTTTCAGACTCAGTGAGGGCCACAGGCTCAGGCGAGGACTTGAAGAGGGGCCCCAACCCATTGAACTCTGGCACTGCTGCCAACTGCTCTGAAAAACACAGGCCACACATTTACTCAGCTTCTCAATTCTCAGATCAACTTGGTTTTTAATAAATGCTCATGCCCAATTCTTAAGGTCTTTCATCCTACTGAGATGGGTGGATATGTATACACAACTATTTACTATTTCCTAAATATACTGATAAATTTTCTCATCTCCCTAACTTTGTTCAAGTTGTGTCACCCACTATGAATACTCTCCTCCCTTCAGTACCACAAAAGACCTCAGAAGCAACAAAATGATTGGAAGACCTCAATGTTCTAGGCATAATCCATTTGGAGAACCCCCCTCAAATTTAGAAGCTCAGCAAAGATTATTAAAAGAACATGAAAGGAAAATATTAACAGCATTAGATGAATACTGTTAGAGCTACAGAATTTGGTCCTATACATTTGTCAGTTAAGACAAATGGCCATTAAAAAGTGTTTCATTGTGCACCTGCCACTAATATTGTATGTTAACTATAACTGAAAAATATATTTAAAAAAAGAGAAAGCGAGAGAGATGGTTCAGATTCAGCGTGTTACAGAAAACCCATCTTAGTGTGACCTATAGGTATCTGGTAAAGTCTAGTCCTACGGACCCTCAGTCAGGCCTGTCCAGGTGAAATGAGGCATCTGGCAGCTGCCTGTACATGGTGTCCACCTATGATGGCTAAAGCTGCTGCTCTCATCCCTATTCTACAGCAGGGGCAGGATTCCTCAAACCATGGCCGTGGATAATCTATATCAGAATTATCTGTGGGTGGGGACTAGTTAAAAGCTCTGATTTCTGGACCCATCTCAAATATGCTTTATCAGAATCTCTGGGTTTGGGACCCAGGAATATGAATGTCTAACAAGTTCCTCCTACTGATATTTGAAGACTACTGTTCTTAAGACTTTCAACTTGTCTTCCCAAGTAAATTAAACTCCTTAGGGACAGGAATTATACCAAGGCCAGGAACCTGCTATTTTTCCCTTTACTTAGTAGGTACTCAATTCATATTTCAGGGATAGAGACAGAAAGTAGGCATTATTGTTATTATTTTGCTTTCCTCCTCACCAGAAAGAGCCTACCTGATTGCTTCAGCCCTCTGTAGCAATGAAGGACCTGCATCTAATCAATATGCAGGCAATAGGACCCAGCCCACTGCTGGAACCTGACTGTGGTGTATAGGAATAAGCCTTACTAGATCCCCATAAAGAGCCAGCCTACATATTAGGAAGACCTTTTAGGCTACCATGATCATCAGCCATGAGCATGTTTTTCTATGGGAATTCATTTCACTGGGCCTCAAGTTTCTAGACCTGACACTTACTACCTAGGGGATTTTGCTACTAGCTATCAGTTAATGCTTCTGAGTTTCAGAGTCTTCATCAATAAAACAGATATAATAATCGTTCTCACAGGGTTGTTGGGAAGAAAAATGAGGCAATCAGTATCAAGATCTAGCAAAGTTCCTGGAACATGTGATTGATAAATGTTAGGTTTTATAAGATTGTTTAAAATGAAATTGATAACCTCTCTAAGAGGCTTAGAAGGAATCTTTCTTGGAAGGTGTGGCAAAATGATCGCCCCCAAGATATTAACATGCTAATTCCCAAAACCCGTGAATGTTTTGTCACATGGTAAAAGGGACTTTGCAGATAAAACTATGTTGGATCTTGAGATGGGGAGATTATTCTGGATTACATGGGTGGGCCCAAATGTAATCACAAAGGTCGTTATGAGGCTATACTGCTGACTTTGAAGATGGAGGAAGGAATGTAGGAAGCCTCCAGAAAGTAGAAACGTCAAGGAAATAATTTTCCCCTAGAGCATCCAGAGGGAGCTCAGCACCACCAACACAAAACCCATTTTGGACTTCTAACCTTAGAACTGTATGATAATAAATGTGTTGTGTTAAGCCACCAAAACTGTGGTAATTTGTGACAGCAGCATGAGGAAACTAATACAGAAGAAAAAGTTTCAGGCTAAGAGTTATCCCAGCCCTGGTGGGGTGGTTCAGTTGGTTGGAGCATTGTCTTGTATACCAAAAGGTGGCAAGTTTGATTCTGGTCACAGTATATTCCTGGGTTGCAGGTTTCAATCCTACTTTGGGCATTTATGGGAGGCAACTGATCGATGTTTCTCTCTCACATTAAGGTTACTCTTTCTCTCTTCCCTCCTCTCTAAAAAATAAATAAATAAATAAAAACATATCCTTGGGTGAGGATTTAAAAAAAAAAAAAAGTGATCCCAGTTAGCTTAGCATCCTAGTTTTCCTAAATCTGAAAGGCAACATGATGACAGGAGGCAGGATTCTTCAATGTAATGGAAAAGGGGGGAATTTAATTCAGTTAAACAATAACTGGGCCTACTCTGAGGAAAAAAGGCATTGTGCTAAATGCTATGAAAGAAAAAATAAAAGAACATGTGAACAACCACAAAGAGAAGACAGAAGAGTTGTAATAGAAGTGATCAGAAGGAAGAGCTTAGGAGATCAGGGAGAGCTTCACAAAGGAAGAGGGCTATGTGCTAGTTCTTTTTTTTATCCTCACCCGAGGACACTTTTCCATTTTTTGTTCAGGTAGAGTGGGAGGGAGAGAGAGGAACAAAGAGAGAGAGAGAAACATCGACGTGAAAGGAGTTACGCGCCCTTAGTGGGAACCGAACCTGGGTCTCTCGGGACTGCAGGCCGATGCTCTAACCGCTGAGACAAACTGGCCAGGGCTATGTGCTAGTTCTTAAAGGTAAGAATTCAATAGATAAAATGGTCAATTAGATACACAGCCTTGCCCTTTAGAAGTGCAAGACCAGAGAAATAGATAAATACTTAAACAAAATGTTACAATACAATGTAGAGTGAACACATCTAGAACCCAAGAAAACGTACCTATGTCTTTGGACACTGACTGTGCAATCAAACATACTGAACTGGCCTGGGTTCCAGAGGTTTGAGCCTTCAGAACCAATGCTGAGAGGCAGCTCTGAGCTAGTTTTATTTAGATCTTAATTCCAGCCCTTTCATTTTCTTGCTGTGCAACCTTGGGCAAATTATTCTCTCTGAACTTTCAATTCCTCAGATTCCAAATGGACCTAATACCCTCCACACAAGGATCAAACGTACTGTCTAAAGTGCTCTCAGAGCCCAGAATTCAGGACAAACCCAATAAACAACAATTCTTACTCTGAATTCCCCTGAGGAGAGCAACTATTCCAAAGATGAGGAGACTGAGCCCTGCTCCTAAGAGCCCCATCAAGTCCTGTTACTCACCCTGGAAGATCTCCTGCCGGGTAGCTGCCACTTTCTCAGGCTGCTTAGCTGCTGTGATGGGGGTGCTTTCTGCAGGAGAAAATATACATGGTGATCGACAACTTTACTAATGGGGCAGTATGGTGTTGAGCACAGTGCTGTTATTTAAGGATTATAATGTTCTGAGAGTGTTTAGTATACATATAATAAGGAGAGCAAGTATTTGTGTGTGCAGCCAGAGACTAAAAGGATTATTCATTTCTCCCAGTACAACTCCATCCATCCTGATTAAGTTTAGTGGCTTCACAGTTAATGCAGACCCTCCAATGGAGGCCTGAACCTGAGGATCTCTGAAAGGAGTATAGGTGTTACTTACCTGTTCTTTGCTCTGCCATGGGTGTGGTGGCGAGAGGCACAGACTTGAGGTCAAAAGGTTTTTCTGATGGTTCTAGAGTATACTGCTGTAGAGCCCTCTCCAAACCAGGGATGGACACAGTCAATCCTAGAGACCAGTGGGAGAGAGATCACTCTGCTTGGAACACATGACAGAATGAGCACCAGGAATCCCCCATGGAAAACTGAGGCCCTGGGGTCTAGGTTGTATGACCCTGAGAAAGCCACTTAACTCTCTACTTCCTCATCCAAATCCTCCTTGATATGATTGCTGTGGGGAATAAACATACATACAGGAATGACTGATAAAGACTAAAGCACCATGCAAAGAAGAGTTTTTTTTTTAATGACTAGTGTTTCAATTCACTGGGCTATTTCCACTGATACTAGTATGATCCACTTGACCTGAGGTCTCCTGGGTCACAGGGATGCCATGAAGTTGCTGTGAAAATCCAGGAAAGAACATCTTGTCTCAGATTACCTCTGCCCAGCCCCAGAGTGATAAGAAGGGTCACAGATCTGGTAGGGGGTCAAAGACAGACAGGGAAAAGCTCACCATTTAGAATATAGCCTGCATTGAGGGCCTTCTGCTTCTGCTCCAGGACATTGAGATAGAAGGTGGCTCGGTCCCTGACTTCATTGTCATCATCCATCACACACCTGCAGCCAGAACACAAGGTACTTCTGACTGGGGCCCCACCGAGATGACAGGAGGAATCCTGCAGGACTTCATCAAAGAGTGGTGAGAGAAAGTTCATCTCTTAAAGCTCTGAAAGCACAGTCCCTAGATGTGTTTTCCAGCCATCAAACCCACAAGACTCTAACTAATTAACAGGAGGTGACCATATTCCTATTTTCTGGATCTTCTCCCTAAAGCCCATCCAGTGAGGGAGGCAATCAATCTCCTGTATCCAACAGTGTATGTCCAAAAAAAAAAAAAAAATTAATATGACCTTGCAATTTCACTCCTAGTTATATCCTCAAAAAAACAGAAAACATATGTCCACACAAAAATCTGTATAGGAATGTTTACAGTAGCTTATTCACAAGAGCCCAAAAGTAGAAACAACTCAAATGTCCATGAACTGATGAATAAATAAAATGTGGTATAGCTATACAATAAAATATTATTAGTCAATAAAAAGGAATGAAGTATTGGTACATATAGCAACACGGATGAACCTTGAAAACATTTTGAAGGAGCCATACACACAAAAGGCCACAAATTGTATGATGGCATTTATATGAAATATCCAGAATAGGCAAATCCATAGAGATAGAAGATAGAGTAGGCCCTGGCTGGTCTGGCTCAGTGGTTACAGCGTTGGCCTGAGCACCAAAGAGTTGTGGGTTCGATTCCAGTCAAGGGGCATGTACCTGGTTGCAGTTCGGTCCCCAGCCCTGATTGAGGTCGCATGGGAGAAACCAGTTGATGTCTCTCTTACACTGATGTTACTTTCTCTCTTTCTCCCCCTCCCACTCTGACTAAAGATAACTGTAAATGGAAAAATATCCTCAGGTGAGAATTAAAAAAGAGCCCTGGCCGGTTTGGCTCAGTGATTAGAGCGTCGGCCTGAGGACCAGAGAGTCCCGGGTTCGGTTCCCGCTATGGGCACGTACCTTGGTTGCAGTTTGTCCCCGGCCCTGGTTGGGGTCGTGTGGGTGGGAGCCACTCGATATGTCTCTCTCACATCGATGTTTCTCTCTCTCTCTTTCTTCCTCTCTCCCTCCTGCTCTATCTGAAGATAAATGCAAAAATGTCCTCGGGTGAGGATAAAAAAAAAAGAAAGTAGATTAGTGGTTGTCTATGGCTGGTGATGGTGGGGTGTTAAGGAAAGTGGAGACTGACCACTAATACATAGAGGATTTATTTGGGGGGAGATAAAAATCTTTTAAACTTAGATTGTGGTGATGGCTTTACAACTCTGTGAATAAAAACCATCATATTATATATTTTAAATGGGTGAATTGTAAGGTTCACAAATTATATCTCAAAGTTCTTTTTTTCATTTTTTAAATTCAAAGGAACAATGTCACATCTGGGGCATTTTTGTATATTGCTTTTCATGCCCTTCTATTTCCCCCCTACAATCCATAGTTGTATAATTCACTTCCCCTCCCCTTTATAGTTAAAAAGAGACAAAGGAAAGTTGCCTGATCCTGAGGGGACTCTGACATCCATCAGGGCCCTCAGGCATAGACTAACCTCTTCAGCAACACCAAGATACTGGGTAACATCTCTTCATTCTGGGCTCCAAACTTGGCTAGAGCACTCACAGCACCTGTGTTTATGAAGCACAGAAGATATATCTGACACACCAGAGCCTAAGCAACAAGTGGCTCTAGGTGGATCTTGACACCACCCAGCCTTGACTTCCTCACCTATTTCATAGAGAAGGCTGCCCCAATTTGGGTTCCAGCAGCCATTTTCAGCATTAACTATGGTGAGGCCCCAGGATCTGGCCACAATGTCAGGGTTCTCAGCTTCTGTATCCAAATGGCCTCAATTCACAGTTAAGTGTTAGATTAACATCAATGAGAAAATGAACTATTATTTTAAGATTATCAACTGCTGAAAGAGGAAAATCTATCCAGTGAATATAAGAAGAAAGAACAGCAAATTAAAAATAAAATTAATACAGTGGTTGCACAATAAGTTGCACACTCATTTAAAAGAGTGAATTTTATGGTATGTGAATTATATCTCAAAGCTATTGTTAAAGAAATAAAGAAATAAAGCCCTGGCCAGTTTGGCTCAGCAGTAAGAGCATCGGTCCAAGGACCCAAGGGTCTCGGGTTTGATTCCTGGTCAAGGGCATGTACCTGGGTTGCAGATTAAATCCCAGGGCCCCATCAGGGTCATGTAGGAGGGCAACCAATTGATGTGTCTCTCTCAGATCAACATTTCTCCCTCTCTCCCTCTTTCCCTCACTCCCTTCCACTCTATCTAAAAATCAATGGAAAAACATCCTCAGGTGAGGATTAACCAAAAAAAAAGTCCATGAAAAAAAAAGAAAGTTAAACACTAATATAAAGTGAAAAAAAAATCAATAAAACAAATAGAGAGGTTAAGAACCATTCAACTAGATGATCTCTAAGCATTCTAAGGTCCTTCTACTATTTTATTAAAAACTGAGCTTGTAAGGCAAGACCCACCAAGTGCCCTATCCTTATTGAAGGATAAGGCCTCTTTGCCAGGGGAGTCTACTTAAGAACAAGCTAAGAACCCACTTCAACCCTGGCTCAGACCCACCTGCTCGGACTTCCTCATGCTCCAAGACCACTCGGTTATAGATAAAGCGAATGTACTTGGAAGGATTGTTGGTCTTGGGTCCCTCCTGGCCCAGAAGATGCAGGATGCGGGTGGCCAACACAGTGAATTCGCAGTCCTCAATGAATTCGCATAGGTGTGACAGTCCTGTCTCCTTGCTCTCTGAGTTCTCCTCAATGATGCTGATGATGCAGTCCACAATGGCCCGCTTATACTCAAAGCCACCCTGTAGTGGGAGGGATCAAGCTGAACAAGAAGGCTGCTTACTCCAGAATGAGCTGTGAGGCTCAGAGCCTAACTAGGACCAAAAACAATGGTCCAAACACAGAACCTGGAGACAAGGGACTTGGCTCTCTGTACTCAATTTCCTTTTTGTGTAAAACAAAAGACCTGGACAGAATGTTTGCTGGGGTCTTTCCAGTTTGAATAGTATTTGGTTAATAGAAACATTTTGTGTCTTATTTTCTTCATAACTCTGAGATAAAGGGCAAAATGGGTGATACAAATGCTATGGCAAACAGTATTCTCACTGCTACAACATTTAAGGCAAGAGAAACAAAGGAAAAAATGAACACATGGGACTACATCAAACTCAAAAGCTTCTGCACAGCAAAAGAAACAAACAACAATCAAAATGGAAAGGGAACCCACTATATGAGAGAGCATAACTGCCAATGATACATCAGATAAGGGGTTCATTTCCAAAATATACAGAGTACTAATACAACTCAACAAAAGGAAGACAAAGAATCCAATTGAAAATGGGTAGAGGATCTAGAGGCACCTCTCCAAACAGGACATACAAACGGCCAAGAGACATATGAAAAAATGCTCAACATCACTAATCATCACAGAGATGCAAATGAAAACAACCATGAGGTATCACCTCACACCTGTCAGAATGGCTGCCATCAACAAATCATCAAACAACAAGTGCTGAAGAGGGTGTGGAGAAAAGGAGACTAGTACACTGTTGGTGGGAATGCAGACTGGTGCAACCACTATGGAAAACAATATGGTGTTACCTCAAAAAGTTAAAAAAAATTGAATTGCCATTTAACCCAGTGATCCCACTTCTAGTAATATACCCTAAGAAGCCTGAATCACCAATCAGAAAGAATATACATATAACCCTATGTTCATAGCAGCACTATTTACAATCACTAATATCTGGAAACAGCCCAAGTGTCTATCAATAGATGAGTGGATAAAAAAGCTGTGGTACATACACACAATGGAATACTATGCAGCTGTAAGAAAAAAGATCTCTTATTCTGAGATGACATAGAGGGACCTGGGGAGTATTATCCTAAGCAAAACAAGCCAATCAGAGAAAGACGAATATCACATGATCTCACTTATTTGTGGAATATAATGAACAAAACAAACTGATGAACAAAATAGACCCAGAGACACAGAAGTAGGGTATAGACTGACAAATCTCAGAAGAGAGGGTGGGGAGTAATGGCAGCCATTCTGACAAGTGTGAGGTGATACCTCATGGTCGTTTTAATTTGCATCTCTACAGATAAATCACAGAACTTATATGCATGTATGTGTAACCAATGGACATAAACAACAATGCTGGGGACAGGGTGGGGGGGTGGATCCAGAGGAGGGTGTCAATGGGGGAAAAAGGAGAAACATCTGTAACAAAAATAAATTAATAAAAAATTTTTAAAAAATCAACAACTGACTTGCCATATAATTCCAGGTCCACTTCTGGGTATGTACCCCAAAAAATTGAAAGCAGAGTCCTGAAGAGTTGGTATACCCATGTTCATAGCAGCATTATTCACAATAGTCAAGAGGTGGAAGCAACCCAGGTGTTCACTGACAGATGACTGGATAAACAAAATGTGGTCTATATATACAGTGGAATATACAGTCTTAAAAAGGAAGAAAATTCTAGCCATGGATAGAATTCTTGGCTGGGTAGCATCATCCCAATATGCCAAGGTTGAGGGTTGGATCCCCAGTCAGGGCATATACAAGAATCAACCAATGAATGCATAAATAAGTAGAACAACAAATCAATGTTTTTCTCTCTCCCTCTCCCTCTCTCTCAAATTAATAAACTGAAAAAAACAAAAGAGATATGTCTTAAAAAAAATAAGAAAGAAATAAAGAAAGGATAACTCTGACATATTCTACATACAATGTTGTATAACCTTGAGGACATTATGCTCAATGAAATAAGCCAGTCATAAAATGACAAATATTGCTTGATTCCACTTATATGAAGTCAAATTCATAGAGATAGAAAACAGAATGGTGGTTGCCAGGGGCTGGGTCGTGAAAGATGGGGAATTGGTGTTTAATGGGCACAGAGTTTCAGATTTGCAAGATGAAAAAGAGATGTTGCACTACATTTTGAATATATTTATTACTGATCTATACATTTAGAAATGGTTAAGATGGTAAATTTTGTCATGCATGTTTTACCACAATTTATAAAAAAAAAAAATGACAGAATAGGCCCAGCTGGTGTGGCTCAGTGGTTGAGCATTGACCCATGCACCAAGAGGTCAATGGTTCAGTTCCCGGTGGGGGCACATGCCCTGGTTGTGGGCCAAATCCCCAGTGAGGGGTATGCAGGTGGCCAATCAATGTTCTCTCTCATTGATGTTTCTATCTCTCTCTCCCACTCCCTTCCTTTCTCTCTAAAATCCATAAAGTTGAAAAAAAGAAAGGCAGAACAGGGCAGTGGAGAGTCACAAGTTCCTCGATCAAATCTATGCTCTTCTACTTACAGACTTCAATGACAAAGGTGGCAAATGAGATGCCTTTGGTGCCAGGCATGTAACCTGTAACACAAAGCTGACTAAATGGGAATGGTGGAGCAAAGGACAGTGCCTGTCCCATCTAAAGAAGGAAATCACCACTCAGCCTAGTTTTGCGAGATCTGGCAAGTTTTACAGGAGAAACTGAAAATCTGTTTTGGTGGTGGTGGTGGTAGTGTTTTCCTGATTTTTTGATAATGGCTACTAACCAGAAATGTTTAAAACTTTATATAATCTAAGTAAAACTTATCTGTAAATCTGGCCCCTGTTCTCAGATTAGTTTGTTTTATGGCTGTGAGCCACTTTCCTTGCTGAGTCTCACACTCCTTCATAACAGTGTGCTTACCTCACAGGTTATTTTGAAGAATACATAAGATGCATTTGTACATTTTAATAAGGCTGTTATTTGTGTAGGTACACTATAAACCTTCAAGCACTATTTTCATTATCAGTTTTATAGCCAATCAGTCAGCCTGGTGGCCACCAAGTTCAGAGAAAGTACATCAAGGCTCTACTGGCAGCTGCTCTAACACGAGAATGATAAACCTCTCTGCAAAGCTAGAAACAAACCCATTTCTAGAAGACAAGGTCTCAGTGTCTAAGTGCTGCACTCTAATAAGTGATGGTCTTACAATTATATGGAACCATAAATTGTTTTGGGAGAAAAGAAGATCCCAGAGAAAATCATGGGCTTTGAAGTCAGATAGATCTTGGCTCAGACATGTATTGGTCAGGTGACCACAGGCAGATTATTTCACCTCTCTGAGTCTCAAATATCTGATTTTTAAAGGGAGAAAATAATGTCAATGGACAAGGCCTGTTATAAGAATCACAAGACTGTGTATACTGTGTTGCGTCTCCAAAGTGCCAGGACCATTAGCTGAAGGCTCCCTAAGCATTAGTGCTCTCCTCCCTTCCAATATCCTTGGGAACCCCAAAGACACCCAAGGCAATGGTTCTTCTACTGCCTTGGTCCAAGAGCCACTCTGGGGCTAAGGCAAAGGAGCACCAAATATCTGGGGACCAAATCTACTCCACAAACACTATGTTTCTGCTCCTCTGAATTAACCGGTTTTGTTGAGACATTCATGAAAGATGGTGTAAGTGAATCACTAATTCATGTCAGGAAAAAAAAAATAGAACAAATGTCACAATAGTAGCATAGGTTTAATAAGAAACTACACCATGGAGTTCCTGGAATGGTAGAGAATATTTCTATACCAGCTACCAATACAAAATAAGTTTTTCCATTATCTGCACAAACATTGCCTCAGGGCATCTACTGTATCTTTAAAGTCAGGGTACTATGTCATTATAATTATTACTGTAATTACTAGTAATTATTACATGTTTATTTGCTGGTTCATGAGTTTAAAGGAGCCAGAAAATCTACCCAGTTAACAGGTTAATCTGGATATACCCAAATTGACATGGAGCCAGCAGCCAAGTTGCTCCAAGCACCAGGAGCCCTGGCATGCCTGCATACCCCCTGTTCTTACCTCTTCCCGCAGCATGGTAAACAGAAAGTTCATGAGGACAGCGTGTTTTCGAGGATACTTCTGACATAGGGCACTGATGGCCTGGACAACCACCACCTGAGTCAAAAAGACATGCATAAGCAGCAGCCTCCCACCACCAGGGTGGAGTTACTTAGTTCACTAAGTGCCAACGAAGTCCTTCCTTATGAACTCCAAATTCTGCTTTGCTACTCAGACCTCAAGGTAAGTCTATGAAACCCCTCTCTATCTCACTTATCCTGATTCTCTTCCTACCACCTCCCATTCCTTTGAGGTTCCCCTCAATTAGCTTTTCTGGATCCTCTTTGGTATTCTATATCCTGTCCCTCTGCTCTCCCTCTCCTCTTTTCTTCTCTCACAATCTCTTCAGCAATCTTATCTCTTCCCATAGTTGTACCTACCTCTTCTATGCCACTGACTCCCGATCTCTGTCTCTTGTCTGAGCTCAGTGTTTCCAAATGTCTACCAGGTAACTCCACGTGTTGCCCACAAACACAATGTCTGCAGTCACCATCATTACCTAACCACTTCCTTCATCCAAAACATAACCTTCTCTCTCCTTCCCCAAACCAATCAATGGCATCACTATCAACCCAAAATGGAACACAGCATCATCTTTGACAACATTTACTCCCTCAGTTTCAAACATCATGCCCTGTCAACTAGCTATACAAAGGAACAATGTAGACAAATACCAGAGGCAAGACTGTGCGCATCTCCCAAGGCCAAACTCTGTGAAGGGTTATGTACTAGCCTTCTCCACTGAATCCTCAAACCTGAACAGTCGTCCCTTAGGTCAATCCTAGCCCAGTGGCTATGGAACATGGAGAAGGGGCACAGAGCATCTTCCTGACTCTGGGGACTGTGGGTGTTCCAAGGTGCCCTGGGTACCTTGAATTCATCTGAGATCTCTGACATAAAAGAGGAGATCTGCTTCATGAGGCGATCAATGCTGCTTTCACTGCCAGTCTTGAGGAGGGTGGTGATGGCCAACGTGGCAATGCTGCGATTTGAATCTGTGACCAGGTTCTCTAGGTCCAGATTACAGGCTGTCACTGCTGATGGATGCTTCATGGCAACCTATTTTGGGAGGAAAGAGTACAGGGACAAGAGATAAAAAATAGAACCTTTGTCATTCTAGTGGATGAGTTTGGCCCAGTCAGAGGTCCTTTGGAAGAACTCATCTTACCACCTGGTAGAAAGTAACTGTGATCAGGGCTACACCGATCCAGGTAAGATCAGGGACATGGAAATATCTCCAGCTGGAAAAGGCCACCTCCCGTGACCCTCTCAGCAGGCCAGGTCCTCCTTCCACCCACCTTGGACCTTTACCTTATTGAGGGTGCGGACAGCAGCATAGCGGAGAGCGGCCTTGGGTGAGCTGCAGAAAAGCTGGAGCACTGTAGGGAGATAGATGCCACGTGCCAGGCTGTTTTCACTGCTCAGCAGCTGGGAAAACCCAGGCAGGCCTCCGGGGAGACAGGCAGGAACAGGGCACTGAGAGCATGCAAAGGCTCTGAGGCTGTTCAAACCCAAACTCTCTGCTCGCCTCATTTCCCAGCTGGCACTCCCACCTCAACCAAGGAAGCAATTTCTCTCCTTGGGTACTTGAGCCATGAGCACAGAAGCCTTAATAGGCACGTGAGAGCCTAATGGATCCCATGAATGACAAGAGCTGCTGTTAACTGAGCACCTGCTGCTTGCCAGGCACTGTGCTGAGGAGCTACCATGCCTTGTCTCATTGATTCCTCACAACTCTATGAAGCAGCTATTGCTATTATCTCCATGTAACAGATAAGGAGAGTGAGGCACAAAGGGGTAAAGAAAAAGAAACTAAAGTAACTCTAGGTTAGCAGTAAGTAAATGGCAGAACCAGAACTGAAATCCAGGACTACCTGCACCTGAAGCCTGAGCCTTGGACCTCTGTGAAGTAGAACTCCATTCCTCTCTCCTGAGACACATACAGAAACCAACAGAACTTCCTCAGTCCTGGCTTAAACTATGGCCTTGGTTCCTATACTATGCAGGCACATGTCAGGCAGCATATACCTCCTGTGCCTTAGTTGTCAGAAAGCTCAGGGTTCAATTCTGCACCCGCAGCAGTAGTAAACAGGACTACAGTTTTCCGAGCTATCCATGTTACTTTCTATTACTTGGCTTTTTCTTTCTTACACTTTTTCAGGACTTATTTTTGTGTTTCTTAAAATAAGATAACTCTTATTTTGAAGGCTCTACCTTATTTATGTCTTTCATTATTCTGGAAATATGGGGAATACAGTAAGTGAATGAATACCCAAATCGGTGAATAAATTCATTTGGTTCTTGTATTTTTGTCCCTAAGAAGAGAGACTTCTCTCTTCAAACATAAATTCCACCTCTCTGCCTGGCCAGGTTGTACCATTATTATGGAGAATAGAAAAACAGGTTCACTCATTCCAAAAAAGCTACAACTCAAACTCTCCTGCCATCACATCTTGGCTTTCACTAGGTTTGTCCTTCTAGAACACTCTCCCTCTCTCTGAATATGTGTTTAACAAGCTTAAGAACCTCTCCTTTTCTAACCTCTCAACGTACTCACTTTCTAGTACCAAATTACTTGGCACAGCACATGCTTGCTATTCTGATATACAGTGAGATCACAACATCTAACAAAGAGACAAGTATAAACAAAGCAATGAATGAACGCTCAGACTAGATCTGAAACAACTAGAGGTGGGTGGATTCTTCTTAATAACAGCAAAGAACATTTTCACTGTGTTCACCATGGTGCTAGGCACTATTCTAAGCCATCTGTATAGATCACGCAAGTTTACTGTCTAGTATAATCTTATGTAACAGGCACAATTACTATCCACTATCCAGAGGTGAAATATGGACAGGATGGATGACTTGCCCAGGCTTACTCTGCTGCTAAGTAGAGAGCCATGACTCCCACCTGGCTATCCGGCTCATGTCCTGGCTCTGCCCTCTGAATTGCTTTCTCCTTTATCCTCAGCCCCTAGGGAGTATGCAGTGGTTTCATAACTGCTGGGTTCCTCCACCAGGCCCTCTTGCCATGGCTAGCCAGCCCAACAGGCTGTAGGGCAGATCTGAACCTCACCTATGTTACTTAACAGAGCCCCAGCCTCTTCAGTGGTAACATGGAACTAAAAGTACCTCACCCCACAAATGTAATGCATGTGAGAGGACCCAGCAGAGTGCCTAGCACAGAGCAGGTGCTTACTAGGTACTAATTCCTTTTCTTAAAATTAGACTGTGGCCTATTTGAGGGCATTTTCTTTCTTCCCCTAATCCCTAGTCAGGGCCTAGCTCCTAGAAGGCACAAATGTGTGAGGTTGGGGTGAAGAAATGTCTGGTAACCTGACACAGCTGGGGCCAGCTCTTTGGCACTGCAGCCTGGAAGATTGACAATGGCTGAGGCGGCCTCGTAGACCACCATCTCATGCTTGTTGCGCAAGCAGCTCTCGATGAAGTCAAACAGTGGGCTGTCATGGCTAAAAGAGAACATAGGCGGTAAGAAGAAGCTGGAAATGGCCCAGCATGATAGGTTGAATGAGACATCATCTAGTGAGGAGAGACAAGAGCTGTTACCTGCTGTCTTCCTCTTCCAGCTGCTTGCTGGCCACCCGAATCATCATGCAGTAGGCAAAGGGAGACTTGAGGCCATGCCGAGTGAACTTGCTAATCATCTTATTGACAGCCAGGCGGTCATTCCTACGTACATGGTATAGGAGCCCCAGTGCATGGTACTAGAGGACAGAAGATAGCAGAGCACAAACATGTGAAGCCTACGTCTACTAGTTGTGTGTCCCTGGGCAGGCCACTGCATGTCTCTGGGCTTCAGCCTTCTGATTTTAAAAATGGGAATCATAGTAGCTGCATCAAAGAGTGGCTGTGACAAGTCCTCCAGATGGTCTGTATAGATAGCTCCTGACACAGTGCTCAACAAACCACATGAATATATTTCGAGTTCTTCTTCCTGCCCCTCCCCACCCTGGCCCCTAATCACAGATAATGGCAAACCCTACATAGATAGATATTCTTAGCCCACTGACTCGCCCAAAGACACATGGCTGGTACTGGAAAAGCAAGATCTAGAGGACCTGAAATCCAGGGACTCTATTCTAGAGATGTAAGATCTACAAAGTTATCTCTTGTCCCTTCTGCCCTTTCTGTTTCCTTACCAGAGTGGCAAGTGGCATTCAAGTGCTAAATAGGTTATGGGTGCCTTCTATGTGAGAAGCTTCTCTGAACCTGGAAAGTATTTTGAGGGGTCACAGCTGACCCTGGAAATGAGAATCAGTTCAAAGGGTGAAGAGATAAGTACACGGAAACTGCCTATGGGTATGTACCAGATGTGTCAGGTGTTATAGATGTTGTCTCATTTTATCCTCACAGCTTTGTCAGGTAGGAACTTTCATTCCCATTTTACAGATAAACTGAGAGCCACAGAAATAAAAGGAATTCCTTGCCTAAATCACTAAAGAGTTACACAGACAAAATCCCACTGATACTTCCACGTATCACTAACAAAGCCAGCTTGGCAACGGTCCTCTGACTGCCTGAGTCAGGTTTGCTACAGTGAATACCCAATAATTTTATCAAAATATTTTCAAATTTTTGCAACAGATGTTAAGCAGTCTCTAACCTAAGCCCCTCTCCACAAAGTCCCTCAAATCTCCCCATAATCCAATGACAAAAGAATTAAATCCTGCTCTGGCTAGGGGCAACCAAGATCTCTGTGGTGAGAGTCCATTCTGACTAGCCAGTGCCATGCCATCTGCCTAAATATTTTAAATACACTGCTCCACTCATACCTCACCTGGACCATGATGTTATCACTGGATGCCGCCTCCTGGGCCTCATTCACCCAGCGCTTGACCACGTCAAAGCTGCACTTCAACAGGTGCTGTGGGCATTAGGGCACATCAAGGAACAGGAAGACAGGAGGCTCTCCCATCACATCTGCTGGGCCTGGCTTGTAGTTCAGCTAGGCCCTGGTTCTTCCCTCAGACCTCTCTATTTTCTTGGTCCTCTGAGATGGTGTACTCTCTCTCCCCCAGGCCCAAACTCCTACAATATGTCACCCCAAAGGTTATTCAACTGGCCCCTCCTTAACAACCCAGAATTCCCGGCACTCTTCGCTAAGAAGTTAAGTGAGACTCTCAGATCTGGGGTTACAGAAACATTATTACCTATTAGAAAGCAACTCTGATATTTTCTTCAGTTTCCTAATCCTGCACCCCCCACCCCAACCCCTGATCCTGCAGGACCCCGGCTGCAGCTACACACCAGGGAAGACACCAGGGCAGAACTGGAGACACTGGGCACCTTGTCCACGATAGCCTGTTTCATGTAGCGCTCAATAGCCTGCAGCATGGTGCTCTGTGGGGACAAAGAGTAGGGCAAGAGGGGACCCAATCAATCCTCAATAACCTTCAGGAAACAGATGATTGGGTGTGGAGAAGTGAGACGAGAAGGAAGCAAACATGTTTCCTGTGTACCCCAACCCTTATCACCTGGTGCAGGGCTTTGCCCAGGAGACAGGAACAACCTGAAGCATGCAAAAAACAGATGGCTGGGTAGTGGCAGAAGACTCACATCAGTGATCTGGCAGAGGGCTCGCACGGCTGGTCCCCGGTAGTTGTCTTCTTTCCCAGTCATGTCCTTTGTCAAGCTGCAGTGGAGGAAGGTGTTGTCCACACTCAGGAGCCTAGCCTGCCCTCCCCAAGCCCACGTCCTCATCCATTCCTCTCTAGCTCCCAGCACCACACTTACCTGAATTACTATACAAGTCTCCTAATTAATGTTCTTCATTTTTGCCTCATCTAAGCCAAACTCCATGAAGCAGCCAAATGGAAGATTTTTTATAAAACTCAAAACCGACCCCAGGTCACTCCCCTGCTTTTACTAAAATGTTTCTGAGGCTTCCTACTGTTATTACCATCAAGTATAAACTCTTTAACAACAAAGTCCCCAAATAGGCCATGCGATTTTTCCTCTCCAGGTATTTGTGTATGCTGTTTTCTTAGCCCGGAAAAGTTCTCACCCTATCACCTCCATCTCTGTCCTGCTAGTTCCTACTCCTTGTTCAGGACTCCACTCAGACAGTTCTTCTAGAACAGCAGTTCTCAACCTGTGGGTCGTGACCCCTTTGGGGGTCAAAGGACCTTTTCACAGGGGTCGCCTAAGACATAACAGTAGCAAAATTACAGTTATGAAGTAGCAACAAAAATAATTTTATGATTGAGGATCACTACAACATGAGGAACTGTATTAAAGGGTCATGGCATTAGAAAGGTTGAGAACCACTGTTCTAGGAGGGCTTTCCTGATCCAAATTCAAACTGGGTGCCCTTATGGTCTGCTCTCACAGCCCATCATATGTCTCATAGCAAATCATATTATATCCTATCTGAATGATCTGACTGCCTGGTTATTTCTCTATGAATTCTTGGGGCTACAGAGGGTATGTCTGTCTTATTTGCTACTTTGTTCCCAGAGCTAAACACAGAAACTGACAGACAGTCAACAGATATTTTATAAATGAACCTACAAATAAATATATAATGTCTCCCTCTACACCCCCCAAAAAAACTGTGACAAGAAGAAGATATAAGAGAACTGAGCCCTAGTTCTTTAGGGCAGGGATATACTTTAGTTACATCTGTTCCCTGAATTACTCAGCCTAATGTAGAAACCAGTACTTAGTAAAGAAGTCTATTTGTATACCTCTTGTATTCTCTATGTCCATTTTTTCTTGTGTTCTCTCTTGGAACTCACTAAAGTCCTTGTGAGAATTCCAGGCTAGCTCAGGTGACTAAGAGGAATCTAAGGGAAGGCAGAGTTTGTGCCTGAGCTAACATCAGAGAATTAAAAGGGAAGCAGCACACTCTAGAGGGTGCCATGGGGTGGGCAGCTGTAAATGAAGGATGAGGGAATCAGAAGATGAAAGGGCATCTAGAAATATGTAAATCAAAAGTCTCACTGTCTAGTATACATGAGAAAAAATGTCTCTGTATCAAAAGAACCCATCAGAGGAACCACCCACAGATCCAAAGCTTACCTACTGGTGACAATGATGACATCCTCGGCAATGCAAGACATCTCCTTGATGGTCAAGTAGCACATCCGACGAAGGGTGGGCTGGGAAAGAGATGGAAAATGTTCTATGACTCATAGCCCAGCATGAGGGACTGGGTTAGAAAAAGAAAAATCCAGACTACACAAAACTCCAGATTTTTCCCTCGAGGAAAGCTGAGCTTGTGGCACTTACATCATTGGACTGAAAGAGCTTGGTCATGGCAAAAAAGGCCTCAGTTGCTTCAGTGGTCCCCAGGTGCTCTCCCTATTTTAATGAAAAAATAAGTCTTAGCTTGGGATGGAGGAGCCAGAAGGCTCTTCCTGCTGGATCAGCCCAGGCCAGATCCTCAGACCCTGCAGAGGCTCCATCAAAGGCAACACATCAGAGTTGGACTCTGAGGGGACACAGAACTGGCTACAAACCACACATGGGCTGTTAAATAGTCTAAGGGCTATTTGATTTGAGTACCCCAACATCTCTCAACTCTATTTTCTCCACCCCTAAGTCTCCTCTGTTACCTGGTTTATGAGATAAAGGATCTTGGTGAGAATGTGGGCACATTTCCGAGGGTTGATGGGAGTTTCATTAAATACACGGGCCTAAGAAGAAGAGATCAAGAATATTACTTTCTAGCATAGTTTCCTTCCATTGATTACCATCATGCATATTCAAGGGCTGAGAAGTCCCAGAGTAAATAAATACACTTGCTTAGATAAACTTATTTTCATAAAGAAAGTTTTGTTTTTTATTTGTTTAATTCATCTATTAATAACTCCTGAAATCTTCCTTAATTTAAATATTAGTTAGGCATGTATTCATTTATTGACTAATAGATACTTAGTAAATGTCTGTTAACTAGAAAGAGAAATGAAGAACAACAAAAATGTAAGCATAATGAACTCTCTCCAGGAACAAAGTTTTCCTGTCTTTCCAGGAAGAGGTTTCTCCCCTATTGTTCTTTAAATCAGCATTTTTAATGTGTTAGTATATCAATTGAATCCATCCTGAACATTATGATGAAAGAGAGAGGGGAGCAAATGACACTTGCCTCCTGGAGTACTGCACTCTTCTCGAGGTGCTGGAATGGGTTGGAGCCTCCACCTATGGTCAGAGAACAGAGAAGACTGACTGAGTACAAGTTGTGACCCTGAATTTCAAAAGTCTCTCATAGAGAAGGGACAGATGTCCCTACTGTTTACCTAATCAAGTTCAAACTCCTCTGAATGGCAACCAAAGCTCTACAACCTGTGTATAAATCATACCACTCTCCTGTAAGGGTTGCCCTGTACCCCAAATTACTTACAGTTACTCATTAGCCCTAGTACAGTCCTCTGTGCCTTTCATAGTGTCTTCTCTTGCATATTTTTATGCAAATGGTACTTAACTGACTCCCTGCTATGTGTGGGGACCACCATCTCCCAGTGAGTAGATTTCTTCACAGCAGATGCCATATTTGCAATTAACTACGTTTTATTATTTTTTGGTTTACGTCTCTTGCCTCCATTATGCCTGAGACCATTCTAATATTACCAGTTTAAGCAGTGAGTATCTCATTTGTTCTACTGCAGTATCAGGACACAATAAAGTGCCTGGAATACAGTTAGCGCTCAATATGTTTGCTGAATGAATGAGTGTCCAGGTTCTCAGTCGCAGGACACTGGCTCTAGAGATATCGCCCTAGTTTGGCCATCACCAAAGCGCCTCGGCGAATCCCAAGAGATACGACAGGAAAAAGGGACAAAGGAGAATCTGCTACTTCCCTGACAGATGCGGAAACTGAGGCACAAAGAAGCGCGTGACACGCTCAAGGTCACCCAGCGAATCGCGGTCGGAGCTTACGAATGGGGAGGCGGGTGCAGTGGGGCATGCTCGGGCTCTCCGTGGCTTGCCACTGATATGTTGTAGACCTTCGCACAAGCCTCTGACTGGCAGTGGGCCTAGGCCAGAACAGAAGCCTCGAAGCAGGGCTCCCAGGCAGGGTGCTGAGAGCCTGCGCGATGGTACAGCTTTCCCCAGGCCTAGCTCCAGGATTAGATCCGCTCACCCGATTCCTCGTCTTTCTTGTCGAATTTCTTCAGCATGACGGTGCCGGCGGGGACACAAAACCAGCCCTGGTCTGATGGCAGTTCCACGCAAACACTTCCGCCGGCCACGTAACCCTGCGTTCTGCGCAGGCGCACTCCGCGCTCTGCGCAGGCGCACATGTAGGTCGCACAGCCTTCTGGGGCTTTAACCTTGTCCTGGCCAGGAAGGGGCTGGGGCTTGTTAGGGAGATTGAGGGGGTAGCGGAGGCCTTAGGCTCGGAACTGAGGGGCACCCCACCTGTGCGCGGTACTCTCACCTTACCTGTACAATAGGAGGAGGAGGAGTCCCCGCATAATTGCGTTGTGGCGTGAGTTTAAACCGGCTTTCGAAAGTGAGGCGCCCACCACACTCTCTCGCAGTAGACCCCCAATTCATGTTACCTGTTTTTATTATCACCTTATCAGGGAGGCCTCTCTAGCCACTCCTCACGTTCAGCCCCCCTCCCCCCCCCCCACTTCCCTGGCCTGATTTTTCTCCCTAACTAAAATCATTATCTAACACACTATTTTTAATTTGTTGCTCGTATTGTCTTTTTATTCACTGCCGTGGAACATAATAGGTGCTCAGTAAACTATTCTTGAATGAATTAATGCATGAATTTGCTCTTATAGTTTACCTCTGCCCACCTCCTATCGGGTCTGCTCCTGGTGAAAATTATTTTGTACTTTAACCTTCAGGCATCTAACTAAAGCCCTGGCCTGTTTGCTCCGCGGTTAGAGCATGGGCCCGGGGACCAGAGAGTCCCGGTTGGGTTCCTGCTAGGGGCACATACCTCGGTTGCAGTTTGTCCCTGTCAGGGTTGGGGTCGTGTGGTTGCAATTTGTCCCTGGCAGGGTTGGGGTCGTGTGGGTGGCGGCCACTGGATGTGATTCTCTCACATGGATGTTTCTCTCTCTCTCTCTCTCTTTCTCTCTCTCTCTCTCTCTCTCCCCTCCCTCCCTCCCCCTCTGGCTCTATCTGAAGGTAAATAAAATTTTTAAAAAGTCCTCTGGTGAGGATAAAAAAAATCAGCATAGAAACTTCAACGTGCTTTTAAAATACTTTGGGTATTTATCTGGAACCAGTTAGTCATGCCGCCTAGCGCGGGGGCGGGGGGGGGGAGGGGGGGCGGAAGAAGTGGGAAGGAGGAGAATGAAACATCACCTAGGGTTTATCTTTCTTGGGACTTAGGCAGCACACCTTGAAGACAAGGTAAGAACGGAACCTGCCATCGTGCCAAATTGCATTGGCTACCACAAAGCCGAGTCAGGATGACTGAACGCTGCAATGAGTGGCACCAGCCTGACTTGGGAAGAGACAGTCTGAAGACCAGCGGGATGAGAAGGAGCCCTGCTGAGCGGAGAGGAGCGGCGGGAGGGGCGGGAGGTTGGGGGCACTGGCCGAAGGTGAGGATGACAGCGGAGCAGGAGGGAGAGGCTTGCCTTCAGGCTTTGCAGAGTAGGGCTGGGGCCTAGCAGGACATAGGGAATGGGAAGAGAGATTTTGCTTCAAGGAGCAATTGTCAAGAACCATATACAGTAGGTATATGTTCAAAATCTTTAACCAGTAATCCTACCCCTTATCCGGAGGAAATTATCCAAAAGAAGAAAATAAAATTGCTCAATGAAGCAGTTTGCAGCCAGAAAATTGGAAACACCCTAAATGTCCAGCAATAAGGGGATGATTATGGGAATTATGGTACAGCCATGGGATGAAATATTCTACACACTTTATAAAGGAATATTTCTTTTCTGTTTGCTTGTTTTTAATATATTTTAAAAATTATAGTTGACATACAATATTATATTAGTTTCAGGTGTACAACATAGTGATTAGACAAAAGGCTATTTCTGATGACTTGGGAGGCAATATGCAAACTTCTTATAATGAGACATTTAAAAAGAAAAGCAGAATGTAAAAGTGTTCACAATTAAGGTGAAATACATTTGGCTCATGGTTAAAAACCAGAAAAGAACCCCAGAGATTTGGATTGTTGTGTTAAGACTGTGAAATACATATGAATTGTGTTGAGTTAGTCTTTTATGTTATGATATTCTAGAAAACTATATACCAAGGGCAATTTTTATAAACCTCAACTTTACAATGAAAATTGTGGTTTATGACTCCAGCTTTAAGTATGGGCTTATAAGTAATTGTAGGATTATTATTATTAAATCCTCACTCAAGGATATTTTTCCATTGATTTTTAGAGTGGAAGAGAGGGAGGGAGAGAGACAAAGAGAGAGAGAAACACCGATGTGAGAGAGACACATGGATTAGTTGCCTCCCAGACCACCCAACCAGGCTGGAGATGGAACTTGCAACCCAGGTACGTGCCCTTGACTGGGAATCGAACCTGAGACCATTTGGTCTGATGGCCAGTGCTCTAACTGCTGAGCCAAACTGGCCAGGGTAGATTTTTATTACTTTTTATATGTAATATATATTCTTCATAATTGCTAAATCCTTGGTAGAAACACAGAATACTGAAAGTACAAGAGAAACTGGAGAAACCTGGATAACACTGGTAGATTGTACCAATATCAGTATCCTAGTTGTGATATTTTTTTTATCTTCACCGGAGAACATTTTTCCATTTTTGTTTAGATAGAGTGGGAGGGAATGAGGGAGGGGGAGAGAGAGAGAGAGAGAGGGAGAGGGAGAGAGAGAGAGAGAGAGAGAGAGAGAGAAAGAGAAACATACATCACCGTGAAAGGGACACATCAAGTGGCTGCTTCCCACACGCCAGGGCCAGGGATGAATCGCTACTGAGGTACATGCCCTTGACCGGAATCGAACCCACAAATCATTGGTCCACAGACCGATGCTCTAACCACTGAGCCAAATTGGCCAGGGCTATTTTTATTAATTTTACTAGTTTTGAAAAATTGAGACAAAATCTACATACCTTAACATGCACTACTTTAAAGCATACAATTCAGTGGTTTTCAGTATATTCACAATATTGTGTTCCCATTACCACTAATTCCAGAACATTTTTATCACCCCCCAAGAGAAATTCATATTTATTAGCAGTCATTTTCCCTTCCTCACTCCCCTTCTCAGGCTCCTCCAACCATTAATCTACTTTTTTATCTCTGTGGATTTGCCTATTCTGGATATTTCATGTAAATTAAATCATACAATATATGGCCATTTCTGTGTCTGGCTTCTTTCACTTATTGTAATATTTTTAAGGTCCACCCATGTTTTAGCATGAATCAGTACTTCATTTCTTTTTATTGCTGAATAATATTACATTTTCTGGATGTACCACATTTTGTTTATCAATTCATCAGTAGACATACATTTGGGTTGTTTCTATTTTTTGTCTCTTGTGAATAAAGCTGCTATGAACATGTGTGTACAAGTTTTTTATGATATATGTTTTCTAATCTCTTGAGTATATACGTAGAAGTAGAAATGCTGATCACATGATAACTTCATGTTTAACTTTTTGAGACACTGCCTGTTTTCCAAAGCATCTGCACCACTTTACAGTCCTACAGGCAGTGTATAAATGTTCAAATTTCTCCACATTGTTACCAACACTTGTTATTGTCTTTATTATATCCTAGTGAGTATGAGGTGGTATTTTGTTGTGGTTTTGATTTGCATTTCCCTGCCTAGTAGCTAGTGATATTGAGCATCTTTTTAGGTGCTTACTGGTCATTTATAGATCTTTGAAGAAATGTCTATTCAGATCCATTGCTCACTTTTAATTTAAATTAAGGTTTATTTATTCTTTTATTATAGAGTTTTAAGCCAAGATAATGAAGATTTATCTCTATGTTTTCTCCTAAGAGTTTTATAGTTTTACTTCTTACATTTAGGTCTTTATCCATTTTGAATAAGTTTTTCTAGATGGTGTGAGGTAGGGGTTCAACTTCTTTCTTTTGCATGTGGACATCCCGGCACCATCTGTTTTTGTTTTTGTTTTTTTTTTATGAATTTTTATTTATTTTTTTGTTACAGATATTTTACCTTTTTACCCCATTGGCACCCCCCACCCCACCCCGCCTCCACCCTGTCCCCGGCTTAGTTGTCCATGTCCATTGGTCATGCATACATGACCAATGGTTTATCTCTTCCCACCCCCCCACCCCCCATCCCCTCTTCTGAGGGATGTCAGTCTGTGCCCTACTTCCATGTGTCTGGGTCTACTGTATTCTTCAGACTGTTATGTTCATTATATTCCGTATATAAGTGAGATCATGTGGTATTTGTCTTTTTCTGCTTGGCTTCTTTCACTTAGGATAATACTTTCCAGGTCCCTCCATGTCGTCTCAAAGGATAAGAGATCTTTCTTTCTTACCGCTGCATAGTACTCCATTGTGTATATGTACCACAGCTTTTTTATCCATTCGTCTACTGGTGGACACTTGGGCTGTTTCCAGATCTTAGCTATTGTAAATAGCCGGCACCATCTGTTGAAAAGACTGTTCTTTTCCCCCACTGAATTGTGTTGGCACTTTTGTAGAACAAAACAAAACAAAACAAAACAAAAAACACCAATTGGCCATAAATGTATAGATTTATTTCTGGACTCTTTTTATTCCATTGATCTATATACTGTACTTTTGCAAGATGATACAATTGGGTGAAACTGGGCAAAGGTACCAAAAATTTGTCTGCATTATTTCTTACAACTGCAGGTAATCCACAATTACTTTAATAAAAATTTAATTTAAAAAGCAGTTAGAGTGTTGGCCTGTGGACCAGAGTCTCAGGCTTGATTCTGGTCAAGGGCACGTACCTCGGTTGTGGTTTGATCCTCAGCTCTGGTTGGAGTTGTACAGGAGGTAACCAATTGATGTGTCTCTCTCACATCAATATTTCTTTCTTTCTCTCTCTCCCTCCCTCCCTCCCTTCCAATGGAAAATCAATGGAAAAATATTCTTGGGTGAGGATTAAAATAAAAAAATAAAAATAAAAATATTTTTTTTATTATTTAAAGATAATAGTAAAAAGCAGAGATTACTTTTATGGTACTTTCTCACCACCAGCACCACCCCAGAACTAAAAGAATATCCTCAGCCTTCCTCTGAGGTGCCCACTTTCACCATCCAGGTGGCACCAACTCTCTTTTTAC